ATAACATAGTATTTGAAAATAAACTCAATGACATTTGATCGAACACCTGCGGGAGGTGGCGTCTCATGGAGGTCGTCGATAGCGGACAAAGTGTACCTAGGTACAAACGGCTCCAGGACTGAAAGCCCCGTCAGAACGGCAACCGGGCGCGTCGGTGCTGGTCGCGTACGTCCGACAATGCCTGTGGCGGCCGGAGACGAACAACAACAATGGTGGAGGTGGAGGGTGTGGATGTAAAGTAAGGGGAAGAAGGGGCAGAGTGGAAGAAAATGAGACCGGAAGGGGGGATTGGGTGGGCCGGGGGTGTCGGAGTCCTACGTTCCAGGTGTTCGGACTCCCGCAAATCTTTCACACTCTTGTCTTTAATTTACCGGAGAAATCGCGTCCCAATCGCCCCACGGACCGATATAGATCAACGTTGGATGACTTTCATGATCCAAACAACGCGGTTTAAACGGTTGCGGGAGGTTTACGGGTCCACTTTAAACATGCGCTACCACCCATCAGCGACATTTCGATGCCAAACGCCCCTTCTGTTCATACCCCAGCCGCCCCCTACAAACCAGAGAGCCACGGCGGAGCACTCAGCAAAGCTCTTATCCAGTGGCAACATGGCATGGCATGGCAGGGCACATCGTCGTCACAGGCGCCCGCGCGGCCCGGGCCAGGCGGCACGCAGTCCACTCGCGGCTCACATGGAGTCGACCGAGCGGAGACGCGCGGCGACAGCGAGCCACAGAACGAACGAGAGCGAGAGCCCCGATGGTTACCCGGTCGCTGTTGGGCCGTTCGCCGAGCCAGCAGACCGCGCGCACCCGCCGCTGCCCCCGGCCGTGCCGGTAGTTAGTTAGTGGTCCCTGGCCGAATGGCTTCGCCCGCGGAACAAGCTCCGTCTCTGTCTCTTCAATCTGGCCTTATCTAGGAGTGCATCTATTCATTCTATCCCCACGACACCCGCCGCTGCACTGTGGATTGGATGCCCCACCCGTCGGGCGCGCCCGTGCTCCTGCTCCACGACCACACCCATCGCTGCTGACCCCAGATGTTTGGGAGTTCACGGATCGTAGTCTCGAGTTGGGCCTCTCATTATTGAGCAAGCGATGGGTCTGAGCCTGCATCAGTGAGTACCAACGAACGGATTATGGAGCGGGACGAAGCAAGGCATGCAGGCATTGAGGCATGGTCCGCAGCCCGCGCACATGGGGGGAGCCTGGTTTGCTGATTGCTGTGTCGCCGCTTTCGTCTCTGATTAAGTGCGAGTTTTGCTGGACTTTTCTCATCTCTTCCAAAGCACATATTAAGCACAGCTTCTCATAAGTGCGTGCGTGTCGCTTTCCTTTGCTCCCCCAGGTCAAAGTGGCATCTCCCTTTTCCCGCAAAGAAGATACGCATCTCCGTTCCACAACAACGGACTGTTTTTTTTTTTTTTTGAAACAAGGCAAAAGATTTGCCATTTTCATTGGTTAAGGGAGAAGGTTTAAGACAAGTAACCGTAAAACGGGAGACAAATATCTACTCTCGCGACATTACAATACTCAAGTGTGTGGCACCGGCAATAGCCCAAAGATGAGCCTCCTCTTTTATCTTCGCGACGAGCATCATCGTCGTAGCAGCGGTGTTACGAAAAAATCTTGCATTACGCTCTTTCCAAATCTCCCAAGACATAAGTATGAACAAGGAGGCGATAGCCTTTCTCTGATCTCCACGCTCAATCACATTTTTAATGCATCATTCTCGAACCGTAGCCTCATTTCGTCGGCTCCTCACCACATCACCATGTATATCAAGCCATGTTGCGATCTCGATCCAGACACGCTGGGAAAACCTGCATTGAAAGAGAAGGTGTGCCCGCAAAGAAGATGCGCATCTCCGTTTCGCAACAGCGGACTGTTGTGACCCCGAGGTGAAATCTCCGAGCAAACACAGACACTCGTGGTCGACGTGCGCATCGTTTTCCTGCACTCTAACAAACAATCAGTACCCCGTGATATCTGTATGGAGAAAGGACGTGACGGCCATTCCTTCCTTGGGGTAATCCACGATCCCCGATCGTACTTATTGACCTTGACCACACGGCCATGCCATGCCACGTGAACTTGTGTGCAGATGCAAACTCGCATGTTCGCTTGCTTAAGCCTATAAGCAACGCCAACATGCGCATCCGTGTTTCGTCGTCGACCACCGTACCCTCAACTTCAGGTTAACTGCTCGTCCGGAAAAAGAAAACAACATCACCTTCATTGCACTGCACGCATTCAAGTCGCATTGTTGCGAGTAAACGTACTACGAGTGAGCCGCAATCCCGGCTCACCGCATCAACGAGCGTGCGTGCACGTCCACGCCTTCGTCGCCGACGGTGCACAATGGTTAGCTCAGCCCGGCGTCGCGCACATGCACCCCAGTGGGCGGGCATGGGTTAGAGTCAGCTCTCAGATAGCGGGTGCGTGCGCGCCACGAGGTACTCATTTTTGAGATGGGCATCGCGGCCACCGGGTCCTCAAGATCTGCTGCAACAGCGCCATTTCGCGTGCCAAGTAGCTAGCCGAACAATGTTATGCTAGCAGTAACAAATAGTAGCAGGAGGAGAATCCGCGCACAAGTTGGGCGCACCTCACATGCGCCGCAGCCATCGGCGTCCAACTTCTCGCCCTGCACATGCACCCGACCCATCATGAGTCGGGGTCGGTTACCTTTTGTCCCTTTCACTGGCGAAGTGTTTGGATAAACACGGACGACGTCGCGTTCTGATAGGCCAGTGCATGTGCCTTTTTTGCCTCAGTATCTGCCGGAAAATAAAAGTGAAATTTTGCCGATCAAGCAGACTAGTCTGTGCAGATATCGGTTGGATGTGCACTCCAAGGTCCGTGTATATATCAGCCTGATATGTCCAGACATCGGGTATCCTCTCCTGGAGCTTGGACTAGGCCACGCTGAGCTCCAAAGAGATAAGAAGATATGTACGACTTTCTTGGGTGGTTTTCACCTTTCAGTGGAGGTACCAGCACAAATGTATGACCATCTTCATAGGCTATATGAGTCTATGAGTCCATGGAATTGCGGAACCGATCGCAATTTCTCCTCCGCTTTCAGCACAGAGCCAAATACCCGTCCTCGATCATCGGCTCATCGCCAAACGCTACTCCGAGCTAGTAGTACGTAAACAAGACAAGTTCAGGACAAGACAAAGCTAAACAAGACAAGTTCTTCAGCATATATCACGGCAAGCATTCATTAACACCTAGCGCAGTCGTCTGTTGACTCTGTTCCGCGCGCCGCACACCTGCAGTGAATCTACCAACTACCTCCCTCCGGATTTATTGGTCCTCATTGTATTTTGTGTCAAATTTTGACCATAGATTAGATTAATAAAATGTTTACGCATGTCACCAAACATTATATTTTTGAAAACTATGTTTAAATACGAATCAAATGAGATAATTTTTCTTAACATGCATTAACATTTTGTTAGTTAAATCTGTAGTCAAAATTTGACACAAACTACAAAGAAGACCTATAAACAAGGACGGAGGTAGTACTAAGTACCTTAATTGCAGTCAGCCCTGAGATCAGTGAGGGTGTAAACGCCAGTAATTACGGCGAGAATCTTGCAGGTGTAAACGCCAGTAATTACGGTGTACTCTACTCTATGCTCCTACGTCTGAAGTTAGTGTTATTTTAGAGAAATCTGAAGGTAGTGTTGGACTGAATATTAAGAGGCCATGTTGCCGACTTTCTCATAAAAGGGAGAAATCACCGATGAACATCTGCAGAATACTCTACTCCTTGTCGCAAAAAGAGCACTCCTACACAGCTAAGACTGACGGTTATACTGATAAGCTTTAAACGTTTGTTGGCTGCACTAATCACTGACTCAAAAATATTTAAGTAAGCTCGCCTTGGTGCTCGTGATGATTATGCTGATACTTTTTGTGGATGGGCAGATCAGAGAATGAAAACTAATTGAGCCTTTTGCGCACCCTTTGCTCCGACTGATGGCTGGCACTGTTCTGAAAAGCTATCGTACTGTTCATCACAATATCAGCTGAATATCCGCTTGTACTGTAGGAGTACAAAAGTAGCAAACAACTCCGAGCCGCCTGACCCCTGCATGAGTGCATCGCTTGGAGTCCATGAGTTGAGCCATGGAGGCAAAACCTCAATCTTGGAGCCGGCTCATCCGTTATATGCGGATTTGATAGAACATACCCCTCCGTTTCATAGTGTAAGACGTTTTTTTGCAAGCAATGGACAGAGTAGTATAACTTGGATGTGTCATTGTAAAAATGCAAGCACGAGAGCAGGGGACAGCGGCTCACTCGCTCTTCAAATGTTGATACTCGGTGCGGATTTGGAATATGCTGAATGATTGGGTTGGATGGCATTAATGTCGACCCCCTTTCTCGGCGCAACCACAACTACCATTCTTGAATGGTGGGAGGCGGTCTCTCACCACAACGGCAGAGCGTCTAAATCTACCGCGTCCATTCTCATGCTCGCCTCTTGGCAATTTTGAACGAGCGCAATACTAGGATCTTTCGTCATATCTTGACAAATGCCTTCAATTGTCTTCTCCAACATCAAGAAAAAGCAGCTATTCACAGTTTGTTAGTTCAAATTGGTTCATACTTGCACATGCATGGCTTAATCTTTGAGACAAGCCCTTTAGGTCAAAGCCGGAGCAAATCACCTTAGAGTTGTAACTCTAGGAGAGTAACTCATTTGTTTGGGCTACGGCCCGTCTCTTTATATGTACACACTTTGTTCTCCCTAATGAAATGGCAAAGCTTTTGCCTCTTACAAAAAATATATATATGAAAAAGCGGGAGCTGATAAGAAGAGACTCGGAGAAATAAGTAGTAGAAAAAACTGTACGTATATAATTTATAACTTGGATTTGGTTACACACAGGTAGTGTCATCTCATGTATGGTACACAGAGTCAGTGGGCGGGAGAGCACATGCAAACTATGCCTCCTGCATTTCCCACACATGCTCAAGACGCTAGACGACGACCCCACATATGACACCAGACAGACGGCATCTCAAGCTCCTTGATCCCACGCAAAATACAAAAATAAAATAAGGCAAATGATTTCGATCGGCCGAGTGATTAATCCGTAGGCAGCAGAGGGGCCAGAGCGCATGCATGCATGATGCAGGCGCACGTGGCTGCCCATGGGTCGGTCGGATCAGCTGAACTGGACGAAGGAGCGGTAGTCGGTGTTGGGCCTCCAGTTGGCCGGGATGACATCGTTGGCCACCAGCTTCTTGCCGGAGTCGCTGGTGATGCGCATGGAGAAGGGCCCCTGGAGGCGGTGGTTGGAGTCCATCCGCCAGATGGATCCCCAGGACTCGCGCATGGCCATCCACGACCCCGACTTGGCCTCCTTCATGTCCACCTGGATCACGTCGCCGTCCATGTCCTCGTACTCGATCAGCACCGCCAGGTACACCGCGTTAGAGCCGTCCACCACGTGGAAGTTGATCTTGAGGCCGGGGAAGTTGCAGGGCACCCTCCGGAACTGGATGTCGATGATGCCCGAGTGGCGGAGCTTCTCGTTGAGGCCCGACTTGGCCAGCGCGCCGAAGGCCGTGCCGCTCAGGTCGAAGTGGTACTGGGCCACGGGGTAGTAGTTCATGTCGGTGATCATCACCGTCTCGATCTTTCCGGAGCAGGATTTGTCGCCTGTGCACCGTATCTGAAAGCACGAAGCGAGATGGTCAACACACTGTGGTACTAGCTGATAACTGTGTGTTGTGCAGTGTATCATATTCAATTTTCACCAAGGGCCGTAAATGATATTAACTGATAAATGTAATCTCAACTATAGTAGTACCTGGTAGCAGGAGCCGCAGCCCTTGCCGTCCTTGAACAGGGGCTGGTTACCGCAGGAGGTCATGGAGGAGAACGGGTACTGGTTCACGTGCTTGAAGCCGCACGCGCCGCCTGCATGTACACCACACCGATGAACCAAATTGAGTAACGACATTAGAACAGAGAGCATCGCTGCATCAAGTATGAATCCACACGGCAGGCACGTACCGTTGTCGTCCGGCCCGGCGCCGTTGGGCGCTCCGTACCAGGTCGCTCTGGCCGGAAGCCACGCGGAGCTGTAAGACACGGCGGAGGCGTCGAGGTCCGCCGCCCCCGGCTGCTCAGCGGCGGCGCAAGAGACATACGCGGCAGCAAGCACGGCGGCGAGCGCGATGGCCTTGACAGAGAGTAGCCCAGCCATCTTTAGCGAAGCTGCTAGAGCCTTGTCAGGGTTGCCACTGGTGGTAGTAGTAGTGGTGCTCTGCTGTGGACTCTGGTCTGTGTCTTGATGGTCCAAGGGGAGGACCTTTGCCGGACTATTTATAGGCAGGCAAAACGGCCGCGGGACGGGCGGGCGATTCGACCGGCGTCGTCACCCACCATCCATCGGCATCGGCAACGGCCGTTGCACTGTACCGGAGGAGCTGTGGCGCTAGGTGCGTGCCTCACTGGTCGTATGCTCACATGGGGTTGGGAGGAAATCATGGGGGATTGGAGGCTTCGGTTCACGAGCATCGCTATTATAAAATCGCATCTCGGCCGCTATGCCATGTTACGTTGGTATGGACAGGTGCGTACCGGCCAATGATTTACCCAAAAATAATCTCTTGGGGGTGTTGATGATTTCGATTGAGATGGGCAAGTCGATGTGGATTAGCTGAGAACGCGGTTGTTGATCCCAGCACATGCGGTGGGAAACCACAGGAACGAACGACCCACCATCGCCCCCGCCAGCGCCAGGTCGATCACAATACTCGGAAACTAGCTAGTCTCGGAATCAATGGAACTATGGAGGCAATCATCGCATCCGGCATTTCTAGGGTGATAATTCATCGTCGCATCGATTGATCCTCTGGGTGGCTGCAAGTCTGCAACCGCAACAACAAAATATGGGCACTCAACGATAGCCCGTCTCAAATTCACTTTCTCTTCTCTACTCCTATAAAAATCACACTTGGTGATGATGATGTACTTGTCATATGTCGTTTTTGATCGTCTGATCCGTATCCGACGAATAGGACGTAACCCCACTTCACATTTGCAAACAAATCCCTCATTCTCTTCATCCATCTCCATCCCGGTCTCACCTTATCCAATCAGCCGAGTAATCGATCTGTTTAAAAAATTTTGAAACCGAAGTGTTAGCGGCTGCTGCCTCTCTCCACGCCACCGGCGTCGTCTACTCTCGACTCCTCTCCGCCGCAGCAGCAGCCTCAGCGTCCATCGCCACCCCCTCCTTCCCGTCGTCTCCTCCTCCCCCTACACCGTCTGCGACATCGACAAGTACGTCGCTGGTGCCGTCTCTCCATCGAGCTCGCGAGGACTCTCTTTCTTCCCCATTCGAGGCTCTGATGCGGTGTAGCGTCTCTCCGTGAATGCCAGCTAGCTGGAGTCGACTCCGACAATGACAGAGGGGGTGCATCGTTGAATAATTGAGGTTTTCAGGCCGATCCTTCATATTATCTGCATTGTACATCACATTTTTCTGTTGATACTTTTGCTAAGAGGAATAATAAAGATGTACTGAATAAGAATACTAGGTGTAGAACTAAGAACCGCAGAAATTTGGATCATGTGATTTGATCTGATCGAAATCACAAGATGGATGGGGATGAGGATTGGGGGAGTGAGCATGTCCTTGTTAGTGGGAGAGAGCTTGCTTGGATTGATAATTTACATTAGATGAAATGATATCGTTAATGAAATTGTCGGAACAAATAAATGATAGGTAGAAGCATTAGGGAATTTATAGTGAGAATGGGTTGTGTTTGAGTAGTGATTTTGTCATGAGAATTGTTAAGAAGAGACATATACTAGGATTCCTTCTATGTGGGAGGTAAATACTGTAGATTTAGCGCCTATCCCAAATTTTGAATGTCATCTTATATCGATGGGGATTCAGGGTGTGGTTGAGGCTTGGAATTGAGATGATGGGCTTGGTTTGGGTCCAATTCCAATAAAGGGTGAAATGGGCCTCATAGAGAGCCCATGTGCGGAAGGAGAGGTGGAGGCACACTGGGCAAATACGCCTTCTGCTGCTTTTAAGTTTCTGGATGCTTCTTATCTACCCGAGGTGGAGACTGGGGATTTTCTTGACTCCACACATGTTAGGTTTTGGGGGGAAACCAGGAGGTGGCGATGTCGGGGGGAGGGGGAGAGGGGAGTGATGGAAGTGAGGGATGGTAGGAGAGAAACATATACAATTATCAGTATCAGAGAAAAAATTTCGAAGGCGGCGGCCGTGGTGGTTTTGGAGGAGGGATAAGAGGTAATTCCAACATCAACACCCACAATTTTGCCAAGAAAGGACAACAGAAAGGAGAAGGTGGTGAAAGAGTAGAGATCCAAGCTAGAGTGACGATAGATACTTGATACGTCCATTTTGCATCATGTTTTCCTACTGTTACTTATGATGTTTTTATGCATAATGATGCTTTTTGGAATAATTCTAATGCTTTTTCTCTCATGATATGCAAGGTACACACAAACAGGAAGAATTCTGGCAGCTGGAAATCTGGACCTGGAAAAGCTACGCCAGGCCACCTATTCTGCACAGTTCCAAACAAGCTGAAATTTACGGATATTTTTTATGAAATAAATGAAAAATATCAGAGCAAATAAGTAATGGAGGGGGCCACCCTGGTGAGCACAAGACACCAGGGCGCGCCTTGGTGGGTTGTGCTCTTCCAGGCCCACCTCCGGTGCCCATCTTCTGGTATATGTCATTTTGACCTAGAAAAAATAATAAGGAGAAGACTTTCAGGAGGAGTGCCGCCGCCTCGACGCGGGACTTGGGCAGGAGCACTTTTGCCCTCCGGCAGAGCGATTCTGCCGGGGGAACTTCCCTCCCGGAGGGGGAAATCATCGTCATCATCATCACCAACAACTCTCCCATCTTGGAAAGGGCAATCTCCATCAATATCTTCAACATGAGTAAATTGCAGAAAACCACCAGTTTGAGGGCTAGGTCATCAGAAAACACTAGGTTACAGTTTATTAACAAAAAGCACCACCTCTCTCATAAACATTTTGCAAAAACCATCGATTGGCGGATTAGTCTCGTTTAAGCATGTTTATGATAGGTGGCCCCCCTTTTTGCTTACGTGGCATCACTGTTTGGGTTTAAAGCATAAAAGCCCTTAACTTTCTTCCCCTCGTGCCCCCTCCCCTCCCCTCTCGCGCTTCCTATGCAGGCCACCATTGCTCCCTCCGCAGGCAACAGCCGCCGTCGTTCCCTACGCAGGCAACCGCGACCGTCGCCGCTCCCTCCGCAGTCCGCCGTCGTTGGTCCCTCCGCAGGCAACCACCGTTGCTCCCTCCGCACGCAGCCTCCGTCGCTCCCTCCGTAGGCAGCCGTCGCTCCATCCGTAGGCAACTGCCGCCATCGTTGCTCCCTCCGCAGACCGTCGCCGTCACCGCTCCCTACACATGCCACCACCGTTGTCTCCCGGCACCGGATCTGCAGGCTGTTGCCACTCCCTCTGCAGGCCGAGGTCGCCGCCGCCGCTCCCTCCACAGGTCATCCTCGACGAGCTGCAGTTGGCCGACTAGTGGCGCGCTGCCGCTCCCTAAGCCTCGATGGTGCGCCCTCTCGTCGACGACGAGACCCATGGTCCGCCCCATCCACCTTCTTTCTGGTCACGTGAGCCATGGGCGCGGTCCAACCGGTTTTGTGTACACGAGGGCCTGATTGCGTTTTTTATTTTGGATTAGGGGGTGTCTATATAAAATTGTTGGGACTAGTTTGTAAATATAGATGAAAACCCTTTTGGCATGAAAAGTTATGCCACGCAAGCCAAATAGGGGCCCACCTGTCATAAACATGCTCAAACGAGACTAATCCAACGATCCGTGGTTTTTGCAAAATGTTTACAAGAGAGGTGGTGCTTTTATCAAGAAACTGTAACCTAGTCTTTTCTGATGACCTAGCCCTCAAACTGGTGGTTTTCTGCAATTTACTCTCTTGAATAACACCATCTCATCTCAAACCCTAGTTCATCTATTGTGTTCAATCTTTGTACTGGAACTATAGATTGGTGCTTGTGGGTGACTAATAGTGTTGATTACATCTTGTAGTTGATTACTATATGGTTTATTTGGTGGAAGATTATATATTCAGATCCATATGCTATTTAATACCTCTATGATCTTGAGCATGTTTATCACTTGTGAGTAATTACTTTTGTTCTTGAGGTCACGGGAGAAATCATGTTGCAAGTAATCATGTGAACTTGATATGTGTTTGATATTTTGATAGTATGTATGTTGTGATTCCCTTACTGGTGTCAGGTGAACGTCGACTATATGAAACTTCACCATATTTTGGCATAAGGAAATGCATTGTGGAGTAGTTATTAGATGATGGGTTGCGAGAGTGACAGAAGCTTAAACCCTAGTTTATGCGCTATTCCGTAAGGGACCGAATGGATCCAAAAGTTTAATGCTATGGTTAGAATTTATTCTTAATACTTTTCTCGTAGTTGCGGATGCTTGTGAGGGGGTTAATATTATGAGGTTTGTTCAAGTAAGAACAACACCTAAGCACTGATCCACCCACATATCAAATTATCAAAGTAGCGAACACGAATCAAGCCAACATGATCAAAGTGATTAGAGGAAATTCCAGTGTACCCTCAAGAACGTTTTGCTTACTATAAGAGACCATTTTGGTCCATCCTTTGCCTCAAAAGGATTGGGCTACCTTGATGCACTTTTGTTACTACTATCATTACTTGCTCGTTACAAATTACCTTGCTATCAAACTACTCTGTTACTTACAATTTTAACATTTGCAGACATTACCTCGCTGAAAACTACTTGTCATTTCCTTCTGCTCCTCGTTGGGTTCGACACTCTTACTTATCGAAAAGAGCTACAATTGATTCCATATACTTGTGGGTCATCAAGGCTATTTTCTGGCGCCATTGCCGGTGAGTGAAGCGCCTTTGGTAAGTGGAATTTGGTAAGGAAACATTCATATAGTGTGCTAAATTCTTTTGTCACTTGTTACTATGGAAAACAATCCTTTGAGGGGTTTTGTTTGGGGTATCTTCACCTCGACCAGAACCACAATTAGCTACCCCTCAACCTACTGCACCTACTGAAAATATTGAACACGAAATTCCTTCGGGTATGATAGAACAACTGCTAGCTAATCCTTATGCAGGAGACAGAACCGAACATCCTGATATGCACTTGATA